AAAAGAAAAATTCACGTTTTAGGACCTAATACCTGGTTGTCTATAAGTGTCGTGGCTCGAGGCATAAGCAGAGGAGTGTGAGTAGTTTACTTAAGCTCCGTTTCTACCAGCGCTTGCTAGTGGTCGAAAGGTAAATTCGTTGAACACTAGTTCGACCGTAGTTCGATTCCAGGAGAACGGGCTGGCTGCATGGGTGATTTTCTCCATATGCAACGTGGATACGAGCCAGTTTACCTTAGGAAGTCCTTCACGATGGCATTTCTTTCCTTAGGCAGATAGCCCTAGCATGCTTTGCCATAATCAATCCTTTTAGAGTTACAAACTAGCTACGACAGAGTGTTCCTAATTTACATTATGTGTAATACAAATATATGAAGGACATTAAAATATGAGCAGGAGAATATTAGCTAAACATTATTTATTGAGCACTATAAAATGACACTCACTGTTGTAATAAAGTCAGTTGGCACTGTAATATACATCTTTCAGGACTCTGAAATTTTAATTCCATGAAAATCAAAATCTTCTAACTACATGCTGAACTATTCTTACACAGGGTCAATAACCTGTTCATTTTAACTTCTAAAGTTTTTTTTTTTAAGTGGACCGAAAAGACGAATGCAGATGTGCAAATTAAATATTTTCTCTTCATACTGAACAATTCAAGGTATTAACCAAACATGCAACATTTTTTTAACTTAATTGGCTGTAAAATATTAAAAATGGAAATATTTTTCAATTAAAGAATAATTGCTTTTTTATCATATAACCTTTCTCGTAAATATTCCTGACCTTTCTGTTCTGAAATGTTACTCAAAAAATAGTTATCTTCAAGGAGCTGTTAGACTGACACTGAGTGTAACTCCTCTTATTATGGTGAGCTTTCTTCCTCTACATTGAAATGCTTCAAATTTTTTAGTCTAAACCTTATTCATCCTTTACAAGTAAACGTACTTCAATTTGAACGCAGAATTTTTTTTACCCATTGTGCATGGCTTACCTAAAAATAAATCTCGTGCTCAGATGCGGAAAAATCTTCTTGAGAGCCCTTGACATTTAAATAAATGCGTATTTTTTTAAGGGGATGGGGACTCATTAGGATATTTAACATTTATTTTTGTTAGTCCTGCACAATGTATCTACAAACTGGTTTGAAAAGTTTTTTAAATGTGGTAGATACCATATTTTTAAAAAATTCTGTAATTTTGGGTTACAAAATAAAATATTTGTGCGTATATTCTTAGCACAAAAATATCTTGTAATAATTAGCTTCAAAATGATTGCAAATTTAAGATACGAATTTTTTTCTTTCATTAAAGTTATTCATTGAAAGGAGATACCTGTGTTTATATTGACAGTTTTATAGCATTTAACCCGTTTCGAAGATCATGAAAATAAAACAAGAAAATAATTACGTTTCATTGCGTCATTTGACTTAACATGCAGACAGATTGCCATTGAAAGATCAATGTTCTCAGCCCTTTTGTAAGAATTGCCTCAATCGTATAATCCTTATAAGACTCTTAACACAAGGCACGGAACTTTTATGAACAGTTACCAATTTGCACAAATGAACATGAAATGAAGGTGTAATTATTAATGTGTAAAAGTAAAGGGTTTTTGCTATGACTGAAAATGTTTTATTCAATAAAGTATTTATTTATATTTAATCATATTTTTGTGCAATTCAGTGAATTTCATAGCAAGTATGGATGTTATTTTCTGTTTATGATTGCAAATAATTAAATTAATTTGATTCATTCTAGCCTAAGAAATAATGACTATGATTAAAAGAGATTAATATTTTACTCAAAACTTTAAAACAGTTTTCTTTTCAAATTTATACTTAAAATCAAGCAATGATAAATATGCAAGAATTTAATGATTAAATACGCCAGAACAAGTTCCTTTTCTTTATATTTCGCTTTGAGGCTTTGAAATTTAACTATGGGAAACTTTTAAATTTGATTTTTATAGCCGTTATCACAGTCTAATGATCTCTTTAGTTTTTATTTAATCATTGTAAGTCCTGGTCTGTTTAAAAAAAACTGATTTTTAACTTAATAGTATTAAAAATAGAAAATAATACATAAAAGCACACTAGTTAATGTGGACTAAGGTTTAGAAATTCACTGATTTCGGGAGGTTTCTTGCTGAACTTATATTACAATTACATTAGCTTGATGTATAAGGACATTTCATCATTGATAGTTTTTCGGTTTTTCATCTTACCCAAAAAGTATCCGTTAAATTCCTTTATGTAGTTTGTCATATATCTTAATCTTCCCAATTTTTTAAAATATCAAACTATTCAAATATTACTATAATTTAGTATTCCCCTAAATTGCGTTTTTCATGTGTGGTGTATGTTTAAGGGACGTGTAGAGAATTGTTTAAAAGATGGGAGGTAAGTAACGGAGCGCCTACAACCAACCTTCGCTGTAACACTGTTGAGATATTAATGAAATCAAAGCATTCCTATGATAGATCAAGAGCATTTTGTGCCGTTTGCATTATAATAATATAAATCAGCAGCACTGTTTGGAATCCTTTAAGAAAATTTACGGCTTTAAACTGTGTTAGATTCAGTGATACTAACTTCACCGCAAAATAATTATTTAGTACATAAAATTTATAAGCTTCTTTAGAGGGAGAAATGTAAAACGAAATTTAAGAAGCCCTTATGATATAATTTTAAAAATTAATTAAATTGTTAAAAATTAAAATTTTCAAAAATTCATTCTAGGTTGAGAAATAATAGCAAAAGGTTTCAAAGATACTAACTTTTTTGCCTCAAAACTTATTTCATTAATATTTTATGATAATAATCCACCAGTAAATAAAATATAACGTAACAATGATTTTATTTTACTTGCCTACAAAAATATAAATTTTAATTAATTTAAAGCAAAACTAGGTTTAAGTCATTCAAAATTACGTAGATAAAATCGTTCAAATTTTTAATTAAAAAAATCCTAAATAATCATAATTCTAGCATGCTCTAAGGTATTATTTTACATATATTATTCATTAAAATGTTAAGAACTATCATCCCATTCGTTATATCCAGATTACTATCTAGGAATTCTAACCAAAAAGACAAAATAATGCAAATAAAGAGGAAAATATAATTTTATATTAAAAAGGCATATTTTAAACTAAATTTTATTTTTATGCATAAATTTCGAAATCCATACAGTAATACACTCGTCCATAAATTAAGGATATGCAAAATCAGCAAAGGAAGAGTTAGAAGCAAAACAAATTTGACTTATTTGTAAAGCTTATTTATTAAACAAAAGGTAAAGAGCAAAAAAAGATGCTATATGTTTGATATTATTAAAAAAATTAGCGATTTTTTCTCCCTGGAGCAAATTACAAAAAAAAAAAAAACCTATTTACAAAAAACCAATATTACATGGTTGGTATGATGTTAATACATTGTATGTCTCCCAGACGATGCAATACAGTCCGTACAACGCCTAGGCATGCTGAGTATCAAATTATCGATCTGATCTTGGGGGATATTACACCACTCAAAAAGCAATGCTCTCCGAAGTTCCGGTAGACATGTAGGAGGAGGTTGACGGGCTGCAACTCGTCGGCCAACATGTCCTCCCACACGTGCTCTACTGGATTCAAGTCCGGTGAGAATGCTGGCCAGTCCATACGGGTGATATCCTCCGATTGAAGGCATTCGCTTACGATGTTTGCACGGTGAGGACGGGCGTTGTCATCCATAAACACAAATTGTGCGCCCATGGCGCCCCGAAACAAACGTACATGTTGTTCCAGAATGACGTCCCGATAGATTTGGCTTGTCATGGTTCCAATTTGAACATGCAGGTCAGTTCTGGAACCCAGAATAATTCCACCCCAAACGAGCACTCCTGCACCACCGTAACGGTGTCGTTCAATGATGTTTTCTTGGTGGTAACGGGTACCTGGAGCTCTCCATATGAAAGTCCGGCGAGAATCAGACTGCAAGCTAAACCTGGACTCGTCGGAAAACATCACACAAGCCCACTGTTGCGGTGTCCACAATGCATGCTCTCTCTACTCCAGGCTAACCGCAGGCGACAGTGAGTTGCAGTAAGTGGAACGCATCTGACAGGTCTACGAGCATATAGACCAATCTGCCCTAAGCGTCTGTACACGGTCTGCCTTGAAATTGTCGTACCAGTGGCTGAAGAGAGCTGACGAGACAGGTCTGAGGATGTGCTCCGCCTGTTTCTTTTGGCAGTAACTGCCAAATACCGGTCCTCATTCGGCGTTGTAACTCTGGGGCGACCTGTGTTGTAACGTCTACTCACATTACCATCATCTTGGAATCGTTGCCAAAGCCTGGAGATGACACTCTGGTCAATTCCAAGTTTGTCTGATACTTCCAGTTGGGTACGCCTACATTCCAGAGGGCCAATAATTATACCACGTAAAAAATCATCCAAATGCGTCCTTTGTGTCACAACTATTCGGTTATTGCACTGAAATGCTTATAAGGCGGCTGCGAACAATTTTACTTCTTTGCCTGTATTTCTTATATACACTCTCTTACACTCTCGTCATTGTGACGTTCCATCGGTGTCATCTGGTTACTTCCTGAAATTTGCATATGATTCTTGAAAATATGTGTAGTGATTTTACAGGTGATATATTTATTTTAGAGTTCGATTTCCGCGTGACTCCGAATTATCCTTAATTTATGGAGAGTAAATCATGAGTGTAAATCATTATATCACTTTAAAAATATCGAAAATTCTGTCGACGGAATCATCGACGCACATAGCATCCATTGTAATTAGGGAGAGGACGAGGGTCGATAAAGAAAGGAATCGGGGAGGTGTTGCATGTGTTTTCAGTTAATAACATAACCTTAAAATATAATTTTAAATCAACCCGATATTAAAACTTTAAAAGTGCCTTATAACTTTCCACACTCCACATTTCTAGCGCCAGTTGTACAGTTCATACAGCAGTCTTAAAACTTTGCAACTTAACGTAATCACCTTCTTTTCAGCTGATTGCAGTTTTCTACTGGCCAACGCCCAGATCGTCGACTTTCCAATCGTGTATTGCTCTGAATCGTTTTGCAAAATATCCGGTTATAATCGTGCCGAGGTGATGCAGAAGTCTTGCCGCTGTGCATTCATGTATGGTGAACATACGGACAGACAAAGCACCGCAAAAATTGATCACAGCCTTGAAAATCACAATCAGATGCAAGTGGAAATTCTTTTGTACAAAAAGAACAGTAAGTAAATGATCTTGCTTTCCCTTTATTTTATATAGAGATTTTGTTATTTAGTGCTAATATCTCTAAATACTGGAAGGCAATTTGTTAGTTAGCCTGTTGATTTTAGAAGCTGAACATAGCAAGGAGTATGAATGAATCGAAATTTAGCTGTAGTGTATTATTTTATTTTTATTTATTTTCTTTCCCTTACAGCAATATCATTTTATTTTTAATAGGCAGTTATTAACATATTTTGACTTTGCAAGTGTAACATGTCTCTATTGCTTTCTAATAAAGCAATAATTTTTATATCCTTAAAAACTGAAATATATTTGTGCTTTTATTATTAATTAGTTAACTCCCAAATATGATTAGCTTACTGTATGGCATCGTAAGAGTTGTATATGAAAATATTATTTAATAGTACCGTTCTCAAGAAGTAATTATTAAATCCAATTCTGATGATTTAAACTAATGAATTCTATTAAAAATATACTTTCTTAAAATTTTAGTTGATTGTTTATTAATTTCATAACAATTCCTTAAGTTTTGAATATAATTTAGAGCGTAAGGATTATTCTGAGAATAATTTAGAACGTAACGATATTTATTTTTGCTATATTATTTAAATTTACAGCAAATAGAGAACCAAATGACGTAGGTTGTTTCTTTTCAAGTGTGACGAAATGTTTTTCTTCCATAGGATCTCCACTATGGCTACTGTTACATGTAGCACCCATCAAGAACGAGAAAGATGTAGTAGTGTTATTTCTCCTCACGTTCCGAGACATCACAGCCTTGAAGCAGCCCTTAGAGGACGATGCATCTAAAGGTGAAACAGTTTTAAATCATAATTTACTTTATTTCAGACTTTTTAATATAAAGTTCTGAGGAAAAAATTGCAATTAAACAGTGTAGGATTTAATGGCATATTATAAGGAATATTTAATAGATAGAAAACATGGCACAAATATTGTATGTCATGTATTTAATTTTAGATACTAAAACTCTTGATAATATATTTATGTGTTTAAGCTAAAACTCTTGAAAATGTATTTTTTATATGTTCAGGCTAAAACTCTTGATAATATATTTGTTTTGTGTTCAGGCTTTAAGTTTTATGTATAATGAAATATCTTCAATGAGTAATTTAATATCTGGTTACAATGAATTAAAATTGGATAATTATTACTGAATTATTAATAACTGTGTCTTATTTATTCAACATTATTTTAAAATTTATTGAAAACTAACAGGGAATACTGAACGGGTGTTCTTGCCATCTATGAAGCTGACTAGTAACTGAAATTTTTTTACATCTGTGCTTTTAATCTCTGCTCTTTCGAACTAATTATGGCCTTTGTAACTTAATTTTCGGTTAAAGAAGTTCTACAATATTCCTTCTTTTTACAACTCTGATAAAGTGCTTTTTTTAATTTCTTTCTCTTCCTCCCCTTTATCACAAACTAATACAACTGAGATTTTCTTGAATTATATACAAAGAATTTAAGCAAAGAATTGGTACTTTCAAAAATTCTCCAATAAAAATACGGATTCAAAATATGCGACTTAGTTTTATGCGATTAATTCGTATATTTTGGATTATTAAATTGCAGAGTCAGCTCCTTAAGCTGAACTACTATACCAATTCCTACTAACAGCTGAAATTTTGGATACTTACATAATTACAAATTTATAAAAAATAATGCATTTTCCTTGACTTTTGGGCCCACCAGCGGCCGAGCGGTAAAATCGCTGAACACTGGTGGTTCGGTCCGAGGTTCGAATCCCGTGAACGGGCTGGCTGCATGGGCGTTTTCGTGGTTTTTCCCATGTGTAACGTGTATACGAGCCAGTTTCCCTTAGAATGTCCTCCACGAAGGCATCCTTCCCCTTAGGCAGATAACCCTAGTGTGCTTTGCCGTATTCTCAATACACCATCTTGACTTTGATTGTAGGTCTATTATGAAGCTCAGTGATAATCTGCTAATTAATTATTAATCCCATATTTTGAATTCTTAACATCATTAGAGCTAAGAATTCAAAACATTGGATTAATTGCAACAGAGATAAGAAGTGGATATCAAATGTTTTACTTTATATTTTGAGTTCTCATGATATTTTGATAATATTAAGATACGTGACTGAGGATACAAGATAGTGGTTTGTCTTCATAGATTTGCTTCTTAAACCTTACTGGGTTAGATGGATATTTTATTGTATAACGGAACATGACCCGTATAAGAACAAGAACAAACGATGTGATACTCTATGGACTACATGATAAATTTAGTCAGAGAATGCCTAGATATATCTTACCATACGCGTAACCTGATATTTTAAAATAAATAAAGATCCTAATGAATTCCATGAGGTGGCAAAGCAGACAGCAGGGAAACATTCCAATATTCCACAACTGCTATCAATCGGAGACGATGGCTTTCGTTTCGATATTCCATAGGTGTGTGTATATAGGGGTGGGAGTAGACGATTATTAGTCATTTATGGATGAAATACCTGATCTAAATAGGAATCCAATTATGTTGATCGACTGTATGTGGTTAATGGTTTCGACAATCCTCCTCATCGATATTTATTTTTGCTATTATTCCTTTGTCTGTAGTTTCCGATTATGACGAACGGTTAAAGTTATTGCTCGTCAATGTCTAGAAATCATCACTCCCGACTCTTTCGTTCTGAGCCCCATCAGTTGCTCAATATCTACAGTCATTGAATATTCATACTATATAGTAAATTAGATTTCTGAGGGTTCAGCAGTTTTTTTCAGTGTGTAATGTAAATAGTAGCCATTCTTATACAGGCATTATTATCTGCTCTGAAGACAAATTTAGTGTGCTTTGCAATAAACTTAAGATCGGGAAAATGGAGTGTTCTTTTCAGTATTTCACGGTGATATTTGACAGCTTTTGTCTAGTAATACCTATGAATTGATTTGATATGTTTATTTAAACTCAAAGAGATATCTGCCAAATAACACTTGAACTATATGCATGTGGTGAGACATACATTTGCGGAGAATTTTTTAGAGGGCACTAGCCGTTATTTACAGTACAAATGTAGAAAACATCGTAAATTAAGCCCATTCAACCATCAGGTATAGAAACCTAAGCGAACTCCCAGTAATCCGCAGCTTTAAGTACTGTTCCTAGTAGGCATCCCCCACACCCAAGATTTATGCAGCTTTATTGTCTTATGAAAATTAAGATTCATAAAATTATATAATAGATTAAATCCAAGTAAAACGATATGAATAGCTGCAGATTTTATTTTAGCAGAACGTTTTCAATCATTCTTGAAAGAGCATATGCTAAGATAATATAAAATCTATGTCAGATAACGTTGGCTTTCTCGCAGTCAGTCTAATTTCTTTTGCTATTCTTTCCTATAAATAATATTTTTTTTTACTTTAACTGATAATCCTTATCTAACTGATTCAACTGATAATGCTTATTTTATTTCAGTATATATGTTTTCTTTCCTGTGAAGTGTTACTTTAATTTACTAGTACTCTTTATTTGTGCCTTTTTTATTCACTTTGCTTTTCCATTACTTTTCATACTTACAGTAATTAATTACGATACTTAAGTATTAACGCAACTTCTTGGCACAATATGGCGATTATTTACAGATGAATTAAGTTATTTACAGAAGATTATTTACAGAAGATACTCAAAGGATTAATCCCTTGAGGAGGTCAAGAAGCCCCTAACTCCACAAAGTTAAAAGTTACTCATCAGGTGCAAGTTGGTGGTTTTCGCGCCTTTTTTCTAGAAAGATCCCCAAACTATCCATATTTATTGTACATCGATAAATATTATCAATATGTGAAAAGGAAACATACTTTAGTAACTTAAAATACAAATTTGAATTATTAAATACACGAAAGAAGGAAAAACATATTCTTCAAATCTTTCAGTATTTTTTGCGCTACTCTCCCGAAGTATACAGCGATCTGTTTTCGCTTAAAAAATTCAGAGAATTTCGGAAACTCGGCTTCGTGCAATCCTCGACAACAGCGGCTATTTAGGAAATGCATTTCCTCATTGTTCCGTTTAGAAAATTTTCAGCAGAATTCTGTATTCCTGCAGAAATTTTACCGCAGTTTCTTCCATTACTGGTAAATTGTACAAACTCATATTTTAAAACTAAATTTAAGGCAAAAAATATCAGGATTTGCTGATAAAAAACATTGGAACTTGAAATACGAGAAAATAGAACGCATACTAAAATGGCGGGGTGGCTTGACTGAAGTACTGTTATGGACACGGTTATGCGCATGGTTGTCAGATTCTGGCACCTTCTGAAAATTTGGCGACTTCTATTGAGATGGTTGCGTTAATACATAAGTACCTTAATTACTTGCACATTAGCACTTATTACTAAAACGAGCAGGCTTTATTTTCAAACTTATTTCTTTCAGGGCTGAGCAAGTTCGCACGACTAGCGAGGTCTGTGACGAGAAGTCGATCCGTTCTTGTTCAACAGTTTTCGATGCATCTGCCGACAATAAAGTCGGAAAACACGAAGCAGTCACAGATCGCGCATGTAAGTTTTAAATCAATATTATTAGAGTTTTCATTTTATAACAGTAAGCTGTAATGAAGACATATTGTAAACATACCATTTTTAGTGTCATTAGAAATACTTGTATGTTGCCATTTTAACAAGAAAGTTTCCATTTTTATCTTAAAATAGGATAGTGTTTGTAAAGAATATTCTATTTGCTTGGAATTCTAGACCAACATTAGAATACAGAAAGATTCTGATTATTTTTCGTTAAAAGTGATAATACATAATGTAATATTTAAAAACATATTAATATTCCATATTTATGTATATATGTAAGATAAAAATATGAAACTCAAAATTACTCATTTTAATTTGACTAAGTCTCCTTCTAGTAATCAAAAATACGCATTAACGGCATTTGCACACTTAAAAAAAATCGCTTAAAAATAACCGCATTATTACCATCTGTAGTGCGCAGAACTCTTAGTGTAATCACAGTTTAAAACTTAAACAAAGGATTCCGATCTATATAGTATAAGCCCTGCTGAAGTACACATTCACTTTTTCTACTTGCTCTTTTTTTGGCTAGTTCATATCTTTTCGCTTAGCTGTTTTTTCTGTTATTTAAAAATGTCATCAACGTGTATAGAAATGTGGGATGATTGTCACATTCATATTGACCTGTAAATCAAGAATAAATGTCCTAAGAAGTTATTCGTCAAGCAATAATGTTATGTGGGGAAAATCCAGCTATTTGAGGTTCCCTTGACAATGCAGCATAGAGAGAGACAGTGACTCTGGAGCGCCAAACGACAAAGCTGGGTACAGAAGTGGCACAATGTCACCTTTTCAAACGACTCCCGGTTCTACGTGCAGTGTTTTGATGAGTGCATATATGTCTGGAGTGTCAGAAGAGATCACACGTCGCCTGCTTGCATTCGATACCGTCATAGGAACCCTGCACCTGATGTGATGGTTTGGTCAGCCACTGGATACACTACACGCAGATTCTAGTTCGGATCGACGGTACTTTGAACGCAGATGGGGAACATATTTGACATCTTATGTCCATTGGATGTGCCCTATCTTTGAGGCCCCCAAACGCTATGTTCTAGCAAGATAATGCTAGGCCACATGTTGCACGTCGTGTTCTGACCTTCCTTAATACACAGGGTATTCGATTGCTGCCCCTGGCTTGCACAGCCTCCAGATCTGTCACCCATTGAAAACATCTGGCCAAGAGTTGCTGAGAGATTGTCCCGCCTACCCTCTCCAGCTAATACGGTTGTATGAAGTGTGGCATATACTTAAAGCAACATGGAATGAGTTGCCCATTTCTGTCATCCAAGCACAGTTTGACTCCATGCCTAATGGGGTAAAGGGCGTTTTAGCTGCCAGATGTGGCAGCTGTTTCTAATTTCGCACCTCTGAAAACCTCCAAAATGCTTACAGATTTACTCATTTTGTCTTCATGACATACTGTTTACGTGAAATAAATATCTTTTTTCACTTACTTTCCTTCATGGTATTGTAATTTTAATGGCCAGCCATGTAGTAATTGCTTATAATGAACCTCTCTATACTGCGTCATTTCAAAATTATTAGCGGTCATAAGATTCTTATGTAACACTTTGACGCAAATAACTTACACAAACCTTCAGCCAATAATAATTTTAGAACCTAAAATTAATCATTATTAACTAAACTAAAATTGGATGTAATTGATTCTGCGTAAAGATTTCACTTCAAAAACATAGAAGTTACTTTCTGCTTCTGTTTCTAGTTAGACATGCTGACATATCCTCCTCCAAACATTTCAAAATTATAAACGGTACTTATGTAGTTCTTCAAAAACAGGCATGCTTATAGCTCCTAGGTATGAATGTTGGCTTATTAAAATGTTTATCAGTGTAAATAAAAACGAAATATTAATTTTGGCAACTTCTGAAAGTTTCCACTTCTATTATGCTTTAACATAATGATTTTAACATTTTCCAGATCACCTCGGACTTTATTCTCTCCCTCCTCTCTTTCAAAGAGAAAAAGGGTCTGCAACAGAGGAGCTAGTTTAGAGGAAAAGTATTAAAACAGTTAAAAAAAATGGAAGAAAAATATTACAGTAAACGCTTAACTATCCGGCATTCAATTAAAAGTAAAGCTCAAATAACGGGAATATTTTAACATTTTAGAAAAAAAAATTTCCTCTGAAAACTTTAGTAAATGAGAGATTTGAAAACCCGTTATGGATCTCGATTTAGGTATATACTGACGTGAAACATTGTGATTTAGCACTAATAATGGATAAGCACAACATCACAGTAAAGTCTTAAGAAGTTCGTTGCAGTTTAATGTAGACTCGATTTATTCTTTCGATAAGCCGCTTTAATTTTGGCAAAGAAGAATATAAGTTAAATTTTTTCCTCGCATTTTGAAAGAAAATTGTTAATGTTTGAGACGGCATCCTGTAAAGTATTTTTTAATTTACAGGATCAGGTATCATGAAAAGGCTACGATATGCGACTTTGAAAACGGATGAACAATGGCGATGCAACCATTTAAGTGTTTTTCATGCTATATCCGTAATTTGTATCTGTTTACTATCTAAGTAAGTAAAGAACGATCTGTTAGTTTAAACTTCTGCTGAAGTGATTAGCAACATTTCCGCCATCTTTCCTGATGGATAGGAATTCATAATCGGATCAGATGTTTTACTTTCATGTTTAAGGCCTACGGAATATGTCGGATTTTAGGTCTGAAATACAATTTTCTTTATAATCTTATAAAATTTTAAATGTAGTCTTTTGATATTCAGATTGGTAACAATACTTTCTTTACAATTTTAGAGTGAAAAATTTTCCCATTTATTGCGCTTTTCTAACAGGACTCCTATTGTTTATGCTCTCAAATATTCAGAAAACGGCATTTCCAGAGATTTTCGCACAGTCGAGCTTAATAATGCAGAACATAAGCTTTGAAGGTTATATTTTTTAAATAAATAAAATTTTTAGAATTCTATTAAAAATTTCAATATTCAGCTCAATTTCAGAAAGTCCTTGTTTTTCAATCCAAATAATTGAAATCTTCAGGGAAGGTTTTTCTTTTCTTAGAACATAACAAGTAAATTTTTTCCATACTTGTTACTAAACTTGATACAATTTAACAAATATAAAAATTTTATAACATGAATTTTCATTTTATAAATTACATTTTAACATCATAAATAAAATTATGGTTACATTGTTATTTTATCTCATTTCCAATTCCGTAATTAATACAATCTGGAAGGCTCCATTTCTTCAAAAATAAATATTTCCATCAATTTGGATGTATCCACTTTGACTGACTAGTGTGTAACTGTACCTGTGGTCAAGGGACTGCTTGGCATTTATTTGAAAAGGCCTCCGTTCATAATATGAGGTAACTGGCCACTAAGACTTGCACTAAAGTAATGCATAATAAAAAATTTAATTCTGTTTATACATACTCTTTTGCAAACAAATCGAAGCACCATGAAGGAAGTGGTTGTTTTTGATGAAATTGAATATCTGTATAGCTCATACACACATAATAATGTGATTAAAATGTCAAGGTCATACTACCTGTTCACGGCTCACAATCACCCATTAAGTGTTCAAAATAGTAGTTGTTCGAAGAACCGCTCCTGTCGTCATTGCATGCTTGAATTCGTCAAGGCAAGGAGTGGTAGAGGTTCCTAATGTCACCCTGCGACACATTCTGGCAGGGGTTCATCAGTTGTCGCTCCAAATCTGCGACATTTTGTGGTACCTGAATCTGGCGGCCTACCATGGTCCCAGACATGTTCGATTGGTGAAATGACTGGTGACCTTGATGGCCAAGGAAGAGTATCTACCGCACGAAGACAGTCCAGATATATGTGAGCGGTATGTGATCTGGCATTATCTTGTTGAAAAATGGCCCCAGGATTACGTGCCGTGAAGGATAATGCAACCGGCGGCAGGATAGTATCAACATATCGTTGAGCTGTTAAAGATGTACGGAGGATGACTAAAGATGACCTGCTGTCATAAGAAATAGCGCCCCACACCATCGCACCAAACATTATAAAGCTGTATGCCTTTGTAAGACAAAGGCTGCTTGGGACCGCTGACCCCCTCCTCTCCAGACAGACACGAACGTCATCTGCTTCAAGAGTGAAGACGTCATCTGTTTCAAGAAGTGAAGCGGGATTCATCGCTGAACACTATACGTTGCTAGTCTGACGGCAGCCATGATGATCGGCTGCGACACCATTCCAGACGACTCCGCCGATGTTGTGGGATCAAACGTCTTAAAGGCCTCTATGAGCGTAACCCCGCCTTTGTGCTCCTTGGCCTTCCAGAGCCTTCATTTCGTCGGCAATTTCCTTGTAGCAACCATTGCTGCCAACATCTTTGCACAGCAGTGTCTGTATACTGCAGGTGGCGGCCTGTTGCTCGGTATGATCATCCAGCTTCACGCAACCCTACAATGCGACCACGTTCGAAGTCGTTTAGTTTTCTGTAAGGTTTTCGATATCGTCGTTATGGCATCTTTAGTTGATTCTTTACGGAATTACAATAGCAGCAACAAAAAAAGATAAATTTCCGCCTCTGTTACTGGTTTTATACTTTGCGAAATTGGGCCCTAGAAATGCACCCTATGATCGCAATTCATGTTTATTTGCCTTGCAATTTTGATCATTTTCATGTTCGATCAAGATGTTTTTGTATACCAAATTTCGTCATGATCGCAAAAGTCCTTCTTGGTGTTTCGACGTTTTTGAAAAATAGTGTATATGGAATGAGTTTAATGTTTTCCTTAATTTAGAGATAAAAATAATATCCTTCAACCTTTTTCAGAGAGAGTAAAAGCAACAATTACACAGAATAAAAACAGGTCTTTGATCCTAAACTGCTACTCCCTCAACATGCTCTGTTCTTTATATACCCCTTACACAATTGTAACATTACACAATCGCCCATTACACAAATGTAACATTCATTGAAGATATTTCAAATTAATTTTCCCTTACTTTT